GTCTCTATGATTGTTTCCCACGTCGTATGTCTCTATGATTGTTTCCCCTGTCGTATGTCTCTATGATTGTTTCCCACGTCGTATGTCTCTATGATTGTTTCCCACGTCGTATGTCTCTATGATTGTTTCCCTCGTCGTATGTCTCTATGATTGTTTCCCACGTCGTATGTTTCTATGATTACCCTCAGGGTGGTGCCTCTGACAGAAGTGTCTTTACGCCATTCCCAAAGGGGGGATATTAACATGTTCTTATGCACAGTAGAATTGTAAATGGGTTGATTCATCAATGTCATGCTCATACTGTGCCGGAACAACATAGGGGGAACTGCTGCTTTTTCTTTCCTCATCCTTACTATCGTCATTTTCCTCTACTTCTTTTGTATGTTTGTCACTCTCTTGTGAACCGCTATTTCCGGGGTGCCTTGATAGTCGAAGCAGACTTTGTGCTGTTGATGCTAGAGAGGTGAGCAGAGTAAGCCTGATTCCTCATTTGGACTTCTCTGTTGACATCCACCCCTTGGCACTCATATGACCACCTGATGCTGTTGCCAGCGCCGTAAAACTTTATTATAACTAAAACAAAGTGTGTAATGATTGGTTGACACCGGTAACGTCGCCTGTAATGATTGGTTGACACCGGTAACGTCGCATGTAATGATTGGTTGACACCAGTAACGTCGCCTGTAAAACGTGTCTGTCCAGCGCGTGTTGCTCCTGTTCTACCACAGCATGAGCCACGCAGCACTACACAGCTGTCTGAGCGCGACACGCAGCATGGTTCATCTACGCCCCCTCGGCCTGGCCCCGCTCAACGATGCCCGCCTACACGCCCTCACCCCCACCACCTCCGTGTCCTCGCTGTGCGACGGCAGCCTCGACTTCCTGTCTATGATCAACGCCATGAGCGAGTCTCCGCGGTCGCTGAAGGAGATAGCGCGGGTGTCCATCTACAAGTCTATGGACAGGCAGCTGGCGGGGCGCGTGGAGGAGCTCCCCATTCCTCACATCGTCAAGAGATACCTGATGGAGGTGTCCTCCTGAGGCACAGTCTTGTGTGTTGTGTGTGTCGTGTGTCTCGTGTCGCGTGTCTCGTGGAGCAGCTCCCATTCCTCACATCATCAAGAGATACCTGATGGAGGCAGGGTCCTGAGTCATCATCCTGTGTCTGGTGTGTCTCGTGTCACGGCCTGTGTGTACCTCTGTGTGTCTGGTGTGTCCCATGTCACGGCCTGTGTGTACCTTGGTGTGTCTGGTGTGTCCCGTGTCACGGCCTGTGTGTACCTCTGTGTGTCTGGTGTGTCTCGTGTCACGGCCTGTGTGTACCTCTGTGTGTCTGGTGTGTCCCATGTCACGGCCTGTGTGTACCTTGGTGTGTCTGGTGTGTCCCGTGTCACGGCCTGTGTGTACCTCTGTGTGTCTGGTGTGTCTCGTGTCACGGCCTGTGTGTACCTCTGTGTGT